ACTCAACTACAGAGACACAACTCAACCACAGAAAGAGGTGAATACCTGACAAAGTTGTATCTCCTCTGATTCCACAGGAAGTATGTGGATTATAAATATGTTTGATTTTATTAAAAGTCAGTTAGTTGAAGATGTTTTCTGACGACGAATCAAATCAAAGTTCAAGTTTCCTTCAGAAGGTTTTTATCTGTCTACACTCTTTGTGTCTTTTTTCTTTTCCTGCAGAGATGAGGAAAGAGACGACCTCTGACTCCAATCATCTGTAGGAACCTCTGACCTCTGACCCCCCCGCTGCCCACACACATACACACACACACACACACATAAACACACACACACATGAGTGTGAAGAGAGAGAAGAGAGAAAGCCGCTTTTATAAAATGTTAGTATTTTTCAATGGAGACTGGCTGTGTGTGTTTGTGTGTGTGAGTGTGTGTGTGTGTGTGTGCGTGTGTGTTTTTGTGTGTGTAATGTGTCATGGCATCATCAGCGAGGTGTCGGGGGTTGATTTATTTAGCATCACTTAACATGAACACAAACCCTCAGATGCATGTCAAGGCTAATCTATGCTAATCTAATGAGAGACAGGACAATGCAGTTATCCGTAGTGGGTGTGTGCGTGTGTGTGTGTGTGTGTGTGTGTGTGTGTGTGTGTGTGTGTGTGTGTGTGAGCAGCGGAGCAGGGTTAATAGAATTAGCCGGCTGTAATAAACCTGTCTGATCAAATGATTGTTACAAGGAGAGATACACCTAAACACACACACACACACACACACACACACACACACACACACACACACACACACACTAACACACACACACACACACACACACACACACACACACAGACTCTATGATCGGGGCGATGTCACAGATTCAGTTTATCTTCAGATTATTAAATCAAGTTTTCAATTCAAAGGAAAAACGTGAAAACATTGAAATCAGACAATATAAGACTGAACTATTCTAATAATTGTGATTGAGAGAGTTAAACAGATTCAATTTAGACAAAATGTAATGTGTGTGTGTGTGTGTGTGTGTGTGTGTGTGTGTGTGTGTGTGTGTGTGTGTGTGTGTGTGTTTATGTACAGTGGCTGTTACACATACACACAGTGACCTGAGGAGGAGTGTGTGAGTACTTCCTGTCTCCTTGAGGAGGCGTCGGTTGGAGATAATTCAGTGAAACCTGGAGGGGAAACTCAGGTTTCTCTGCTCCCTCTCACTCTTTTATTGATCAAACATTCAACTTCTTGTTTTTATTTTTACACTCACAGTCCAACAGGAAACAAACCACACAGCCTGAACAAATCAGGAGGAGGGGGGCGGAGGGGTGGAGCTATATGACATGTCTGGGAAATGAATCTTCTTTCATGTCCGACAGGTGAGACTGAGGAAAAATAACGACGACTAAAAGACGACTAAAGACGACCATTTACAGCAGCAGTCCTGTAAAAACAATAAACAATCCCAACTCCAAACCATGGATCACTCGCCCACTAAGACAGAGCCTAAAGGAAAAGCACAAGGCCTTTAGGCTCGAAGACTGGGAACGCCTAAAACTGGCAAACAGGACAATAAAAAATGAGGTTTTCAAAGAAAAACTGAACACCAGGCCGTCATTTCAGAAAGTTAAAACTCCGACTAGGTGTGAATCCAGAACCAACATAGGTGCAATAACTGACCCAGGTTCCTTTCAACACCTTTTATGCTTGTTTTGACACCCTGGACTCTAGCAGGTTAAGAGCCCTCCCTCTATCAGAACCCGGTGAGCCAGCCCCCTTCACGGTAGAGGATGTACAGCGCCAGCTCAGCCGATGCTCAGCCGGGCAAGGCTCCGGGGCCTGACGGCATCCCAGCAAGGGTGCTGAAGGTCTGTGCCCACGAACTCTCACCAGTACTCTTCTCACTCTTCTGTGAATCCTACCGGACTGCCCCCATACCCACCCTCTGGAAAACTGCAACAATAATTCTGATACCTAAAAAACCCCGGCCCACTGAACTCAACCACTATCGCCCTGTTGCTCTCACCGCCATTATCATAAGACTCCCCAGGTCACTTCATCAGAGTCCTCTTCGTGGTCTTCAGCAGTGCTTTCAACACCATTCAAAGGCATCTGATGATCCAGAAACTACACCAGCTCAACACCCCCTCCCGCCTGATCCACCTCATTCACAACTTCCTCAGTGACAGGCTGCAAGCTGTGCGAGTGGGCACAACCTCATCACCTGCACTAACCACCAACACCGGAGTACCACAGGGATGTGTACTGAGCCATCTCCTGTTCACACTCTACACCAACGACTGCAACAGCCCGTCACCCACCACCACAGACCTCAAATACTCAGACGACACAGCCATCATTGCCATGTTCACCCACAACAACTCTGTCCAGGACTACCACAACACTATCACAAACTTCACTCAGTGGTGTGACAATAACCATCTCCATCTCAATGTCCCTAAGACAAAAGAATTAATAATCAGTCCCCCCTGACCTCAGCACCCACTTCTCATCAATACCAGGGTTTCAGAGTCTCAGATAGTTCAGGTGTTCAGGATTTCAGAGTTTCAGGGTCTCAGGGTCTCAGGTAGTTCAGGTGCTTAGAGTCTCAGGGTCTCTGGTGTTTCAGGTGTTGACATTAAATGCTAAGGTTAGGTCACAGGTGAGGGCTCAGAGGTAGAACAGGTTACTCACAGGTAGTAAGTGTAGGAGTGTGAATGTCTCCGTCTGATTGGTGGGGTGGAGCAGAGGGAGGGATGAAATGGAGGGAAAGAAAACAGGAAAGAAAAAAGGAAGAACAACAGATTAATGCCTGAGAGAGAAAACAGATGAGTTAAATCACTGTGCTGAATGTGGAGGAGTGGAGGGTGGGGATTGGCTGGTTCGAGGTGTCAATCAAAGTGTGAGGGGGGAGGGGACACATCTGATTGGAGGGAAGGTAAGAGAGAGCAGGATGTAGTCTGCAGACTGTCAACACACTAAAGGACGTACAGAAAGGAGGCGGGACACGACGCCATGGAGGTCACTGTGTACTGTTTACAACAGATCCAAGATGGCGGATGAAGGAACAGACTCCTGTGACAGTTTCTATCATCAGTTCAAAATCTCCTTGTTCTTATTCATTTTGTCCCTTTAGGCTCACTGTAGGTTAGTCATCGCAGTGTCTCAAAACTCCCAGAATGCTCAGCTGACGTCCTCTTTGACTGTTTTCACTTTTAAGTTTTAAGTCAATGTCGTTGCTCTCAATCTACTGGAAGTTCATTATTCTCTTTCAAAATAAAATAAATCCAGACAGGAAGTAAAGTATCTTAAATCAAGACAGTACAAAATGCTAAATAAAAGCCAAACAAAAAATCAGTTTTGAAATAAAGCAAAGAGAATAAATTTTTCAAGATTCGATTAATCATGACTACCTATCAGAATTCAGCGATTTTGAAAACGATCCATATTTACTGTTTGATCAAAAGTTTGAAAAAGATAAAAGGGAGCGGCTTCAAAACGAACAGGAAAGACCGAACCAATCGCTCACTGGTCACAGGATATGAACGTCATCTACCCTCAATGTCTAGCACCAAACTGCCCCCCCCCCCCCGTTTCACCTCACAGAACAGTGAGATAATCTCAAGAGCGCTGGATGATTACTGTTAGTGTTTAAAAGAGAAAAGACTCCGCCCACTCGTGCTGTGAGACGCCCTAACTTCAGAACACACAGCTTTGTGTTTCTGAGGATAATCAGAGGTTAAAGGTCACAGCGTATTCAGTAGCGACATCCCCCCCCCCCCCACCCCACCCCACCCAGCCGGCATAGGGACACGCTGCTCTACAGAAAGTAGTCCCAACATGGAGTGTTTGCTGTCAGCAGGGGGAAGGTGACAGAGTCAGACCCAGGAGCCAATCAGAGTTTAACACCCAGCTTCCTGTTTCCATTGGTCTGTAATGAGTCTGACCGCCGTCTGCTGCAGGAGTGGAAATCAAACGCACCCCGTCAACATTAAACAGCTCATTAGAGAGCAAAGGAGCCAGATCAGAGGCACACACACACACACACACACACACACACACACACTTTATAAACACAAGTGAGCTACTATAAATGTGTGTGTGAAGTTTAATATGTGTGTGTGTGTGTGTGTGTGTGTGTGTGTGTGTGTGTGTGTGTGTGTGTGTGTGTGTGTGTGTGTGTGTGTGTGTGTGTGTGTGTGTGTGTGTGTGTGTGTCTGTGTGTGTAGCCTGAAGCCATTCAGCTCGAGGCGACTCAGAGAAAAAACAACAAAGAATAAAACGCTCTTTCATCTAAATTTCTCTCTTATCGTCGACGTTCTCCAAACACACAGGCTTTCTCTGTCTTTAAGTGTGTCTGTGTGTGTGTGTGTCTGTGTGTGTGTGTGTGTGTGTGTGTGTGTGTGTGTGTGTGTGTGTGTGTGTGTGTGTATCAGTGTGTGTGTGTGTGTGTGTGTGTGTGTGTGTGTGTGTGTGTGTGTGTGTGTGTGTGTCTGTGTGTGTGTCTGTGTGTGTGTGTGTCTGTGTGTCTGTGTGTGTGTGTGTGTCTGTGTGTGTGTGTCTGTGTGTCTGTGTGTGTGTGTGTGTGTCTGTGTGTGTGTGTGTCTGTGTGTGTGTGTGTGTGTGTGTGTTTGTGTGTGTGTGTGTGTGTATCAGTGTGTGTGTGTGTGTGTGTGTGTGTGTGTGTGTGTGTGTGTGTGTGTGTGTGTGTGTGTGTGTGTGTGTGTGTGTGTGTGTGTGTGTGTGTGTGTGTGTGTGTGTGTGTGTGTGTGTATCAGTGTGTGTGTCCCAGTGGAGTGTGTGTGTTTGATGCTGCAGAATAAAGTCGGTCCACATATAGTTTAATGGTGGTTACTGCTGCAATCTGCTCCATTATTCATTCTCAACTTCCTGTGTGTGTGTGTGTGTGTGTGTGTGTGTGTGTGTCTGTGTGTGTGTGTGTGTGTGTCTGTGTGTGTGTGTGGTGTGTGTGTGTGTGTGTGTGTGTGTGGTCTTACCGTTTCTTCATCAGCAGAATGACTCCGAGGAAGATGATGATGAAGAGCAGGACTCCTGCGATGGACCCGGCGATCTTCACCGTGTGGTCCGATTGTTTCTCTTGTTCGGGTTCAGGTTTTCTGGTCGCAGCTCCTGAAATCATCGACCAACAGGAAGTACCTTTAACCAGGTGAACGACCTTCAACCATTAACCAGGTGAACGACCTTCAATCATTAACCAGGTGAACGACCTTCAATCATTAACCAGGTGAACGACCTTCAATCATTAACCAGGTGAACGACCTTCAACCATTAACCAGGTGAACGACCTTCAATCATTAACCAGGTGAACGACCTTCAACCATTAACCAGGTGAACGACCTTCAACCATTAACCAGGTGAACGACCTTCAACCATTAACCAGGTGAACGACCTTCAACCATTAACCAGGTGAACGACCTTCAATCATTAACCAGGTGAACGACCTTCAATCATTAACCAGGTGAACGACCTTCAATCAGCAGTCAGAGGTCATATCAATCATCATCACATTATTGATCAGCTGTTTTCTGATCAGAGACTAACACCTGCAGAAGACCCATTACCTGCTGTGTGTGTGTGTGTCTGTGTGTGTGTGTGTGTGTCTGTGTGTGTGTGTGTGTGTGTGTGTCTGTGTGTGTGTGTGTGTGTGTGTGTGTGTGTCTGTGTGTCTGTGTGTGTGTGTGTGTGTGTCTGTGTGTGTGTGTCTGTGTGTGTGTTAAACTTGCCTCTCCCTCTGACATGTTCAGTTTTTACATGTTGTTATAAGAAGATGATTTATTGTGTCAGTAAACATGTTAGTCTGAAATCATGTGTTTGTTTACTTCTGTAAAGTTTAGATGTATTTATCTTGTAGGTGTGTTTCATAGTTTAGTCTTCAGTGTTTCCTGTTTTATTTTGTCATTTCATGTTTTTGTGTCTTGATGTTTAACAGTGTCTTCAGTGTTTCATTTATTAATGTCATAGTTGTCCTCAGTGTTTCTTGTCCTGCCTCTGTGAGTTTCTCTCCAGTATGGATCGCCCTGATTGTCGTCACCTGTGTCGTTAGTCTCACCTGTGTCTGATTACCCCATGTCTCTTTAGTCTCACCTGTGTCTGATTACCCCATGTCTCTTTAGTCTCACCTGTGTCTGATTACTACCCCATGTCTCTTTAGTCTCACCTGTGTCTGATTATCCCATGTCTCTTTAGTCTCACCTGTGTCTGATTACCCCATGTCTCTTTAGTCTCACCTGTGTCTGATTACCCCATGTCTCTTTAGTCTCACCTGTGTCTGATTACCCCATGTCTCTTTAGTCTCACCTGTGTCTGATTACCCCATGTCTCTTTAGTCTCTGTGTTTCTTGCCCTCTGTGTCAGATCATTGTCGTGTGTTTTTCCTCATGTTGCTCCCTGTTTTTGATCCCTGTGTTTTTTCATTTAACATTTGGAAAGTGAGCACGCTCCGAGCACGCTCCGAGCACGCTCCGAGCGCGAACACCTCCAGTCTTCTGTCGTCCCTGCAGGTTAACGTCCACATGTCTGTTCTGTACTGGTCTGTTCTGTTCTGTTCTGTTCTGTTCTGTTCTGTTCTGTACTGGTCTGTTGTTCTGTTCTGTTCTGTTCTGTACTGGTCTGTTCTGTTCTGGTCTGTAATGGTCTGTTCTGTTCTGTTCTGGTCTGTTCTGGTCTGTTCTGTTCTGTACTGGTCTGTTCTGTTCTGTTCTGTTCTGTTCTGTACTGGTCTGTTCTGTTCTGGTCTGTAATGGTCTGTTCTGTTCTGTTCTGGTCTGTTCTGGTCTGTTCTGGTCTGGTCTGGTCTGTTCTGTTCTGTACTGGTCTGTTCTGTTCTGTACTGGTCTGTTCTGGTCTGTTCTGGTCTGGTCTGTTCTGTTCTGTTCTGTTCTGTTCTGTTCTGTTCTGTTCTGTTCTGTACTGTTCTGTACTGGTCTGTTCTGGTCTGTTCTGGTCTGTTCTGTTCTGTTCTGTTCTGTTCTGGTCTGTTCTGGTCTGTTCTGTACTGTACTGGTCTGTTCTGTTCTGTACTGGTCTGTTCTGGTCTGTTCTGGTCTGTTCTGTTCTGTTCTGTTCTGTTCTGTTCTGTTCTGTTCTGTTCTGTTCTGTACTGTTCTGTACTGGTCTGTTCTGGTCTGTTCTGGTCTGTTCTGTTCTGTTCTGTTCTGTTCTGTTCTGGTCTGTTCTGTTCTGTTCTGGTCTGTTCTGGTCTGTTCTGTACTGGTCTGTTCTGTTCTGTACTGTTCTGTTCTGTTCTGTTCTGTTCTGTTCTGTTCTGGTCTGTTCTGTTCTGTTCTGTTCTGTTCTGGTCTGTAATGGTCTGTTCTGTTCTGTTCTGTTCTGGTCTGTTCTGGTCTGTTCTGTTCTGTACTGGTCTGTTCTGTTCTGGTCTGTAATGGTCTGTTCTGTTCTGTTCTGGTCTGTTCTGTACTGTTCTGTACTGGTCTGTACTGTTCTGTACTGGTCTGGTCTGTTCTGGTCTGGTCTGGTCTGGTCTGGTCTGGTCTGGTCTGGTCTGGTCTGGTCTGGTCTGTTCTGTTCTGTTCTGTACTGGTCTGTTCTGTTCTGTTCTGTTCTGTTCTGTTCTGGTCTGTTCTGTTCTGTTCTGGTCTGTTCTGGTCTGTTCTGTTCTGTTCTGTTCTGTTCTGTACTGGTCTGTTCTGTTCTGTTCTGTACTGTTCTGTTCTGTTCTGGTCTGGTCTGGTCTGGTCTGTTCTGGTCTGTTCTGTTCTGTTCTGTTCTGTACTGGTCTGTTCTGTTCTGTTCTGGTCTGTAATGGTCTGTTCTGTTCTGTTCTGTTCTGTTCTGTTCTGTTCTGTTCTGTTCTGTACTGGTCTGGTCTGGTCTGTACTGGTCTGTTCTGGTCTGTTCTGTTCTGGTCTGTTCTGTACTGGTCTGTTCTGTTCTGGTCTGTAATGGTCTGTTCTGTTCTGTTCTGTTCTGTTCTGTTCTGGTCTGTACTGGTCTGTTCTGTTCTGGTCTGGTCTGTTCTGTACTGGTCTGTTCTGTACTGTTCTGTACTGGTCTGTTCTGTACTGGTCTGTTCTGGTCTGTTCTGTTGTGTTCTGTTCTGTACTGGTCTGTTCTGTTCTGTTCTGTTCTGTTCTGTTCTGTACTGGTCTGTTCTGTTCTGTTCTGTTCTGTTCTGTTCTGTACTGTTCTGTTCTGTACTGGTCTCTGTTCTGTTCTGTTCTGTTCTGTTCTGGTCTGGTCTGTTCTGTTCTGTTCTGTTCTGTTCTGTTCTGTTCTGTTCTGTTCTGTCTGTTCTGTTCTGTTCTGTTCTGTTCTGTTCTGTTCTGTTCTGTTCTGTACTGGTCTGTTCTGTTCTGTTCTGTTCTGTTCTGTTCTGGTCTGGTCTGTTCTGTTCTGTTCTGTACTGGTCTGTTCTGTTCTGTTCTGTACTGGTCTGTTCTGGTCTGTTCTGTTGTGTACTGTTCTGTTCTGTTCTGTTCTGTACTGGTCTGTTCTGCTCTGTTCTGTACTGGTCTGTTCTGGTCTGTTCTGGTCTGTTCTGTTGTGTACTGTTCTGTTCTGTACTGGTCTGTTCTGTTCTGTTCTGTTCTGGTCTGTTCTGTTGTGTACTGTTCTGTTCTGTTCTGTTCTGTTCTGTTCTGTACTGGTCTGTTCTGTTCTGTTCTGTTCTGTTCTGGTCTGTTCTGTTCTGTTCTGTTCTGTTCTGTTCTGGTCTGTTCTGTTCTGTTCTGTTCTGGTCTGTTCTGTTCTGTTCTGTTCTGTTCTGTTCTGTTCTGTACTGGTCTGTTCTGTTCTGTTCTGTTCTGTACTGGTCTGTTCTGTTCTGTACTGGTCTGTTCTGTTCTGTACTGGTCTGTTCTGGTCTGTTCTGTACTGGTCTGTTCTGGTCTCCTGGTCTGTACCCAGTGAAGCTGAACCAGTTTCCACTTCAACAAAGAAAAGCTTTATTTCTGTTTTCTTCTCTTCAAGGTCAGACGTTGAGCAGATACCTCACTTTATCCTCACACACACACACACACACACACACACACACACACACCCTCCGAGGCACACTGAGCTGTTGCTTTCAGTTTAAAGGCTATCAAAACACTTTGAAGACAGAATTTATCCAACTGTGTGTGTGTGTGTGTGTGTGTGTGTGTGTGTGTGTGTGAGAGAGAGAGAGAGTGTCACAGTAGGCCATAGAGAAGCTGTTTTATGTGAGAGTGAAGCTGTTTTCTTCTTCGGGGCCTCAGCCAGTCACGCTGAGTGGGAGGTGTATGTGTGTGTATTTATGTGTGTATACAAGTCGAACAGCTGTTAAGTGTGTTTGAGGCCTGCTGGTGACACACACACACACACACACACATCTCATAGTATATGTGTCGGTATAAACAGTCTTTGGAAAGTTGCCACCTTCAGGCGGGTAAATATTTAAATGTAATTTTCTCTGAGCGCTGTGTGTGTGTGTGTGTGTGTGTGTGTGTGTGTGTGTGTGTGTGTGTGTGTGTGTGTGTGTGTGTGTGTGGCTCCCACCTATTCCATTGACTAGTGTAGATTAATAAAATCAGATGAATCTGAGACTGTCCACTCAAACATCTTCATATCAAAAGAGTTATGATGACAACGATTGTTCTTAATAGTGTGTGTGTGTGTGTGTGTGTGTGTGTGTGTGTGTGTGTGTGTGTGTGTGTGTGTGTGGGGTCTGACCTGTTAGCTGCTTGTCACCAGCTGCCGGTGCGATGCGAATGTACGGCGTGGTGAGCTGAGTGACGATTATAGCAGCTACTCATCCAGGAAGGCATGCAGAGAGAGAGAGACAGGAGGAGAGAGAGAGAGAGAGAGACAGGAGGAGAGAGAGAGAGACAGGAGGAGAGAGAGAGAGAGACAGGAGGAGAGAGAGAGACAGGAGGAGAGAGAGACAGGAGGAGAGAGAGAGAGACAGGAGGAGAGAGAGAGAGAGAGACAGGAGGAGAGAGAGAGAGACAGGAGGAGAGAGAGAGAGAGACAGGAGGAGAGAGAGAGACAGGAGGAG